GAGAGAGAGAGAGAGAGAGAGAGAGAGAGAGAGAGAGAGATTCAGCTTAACAAAGAAAGAACCAAATGGGCAAAAAAGCAACCTTTTTTTTCACACAGTTGCTAACAAGATCTGAAATTTGTCACCAGCAAAAGAGAAGATAATTTTCTGGGTTAAAAAAAGATACCCTTTTGCTTGAAGAATTTGGCTTGTATAAATGGTTTGAAGGTAAATGAAGCTGAAAATATATAAATAAATAAATATATATATATATATATATATATATATATTATACACACACAAATGGTGTTGACAAAGAGACCCAACCCAGAAAAAGAGAATGATTATAATATGAATCTGATATAATGATTAAAAGTAATTGACCCAAATGTGAACAGATGAACTGATGAAGGATGTGGGTTATAAAAAGGGCAATGCTATATGTACACCCCCTTTTAATAAATTACACAAAGAAAAGTGCTATATGTACACCCCTTTTTTACACTTGAGGGGGTGTACATATAGACACCCCCTATAAAAATAATTTTATTACGATTTTGCATTTAATTAATTGGAAATGATTAAGGTCCCGGAACCATTTCATAAGAATTTGTACCGTTAGATCATCGCGTAACCGTCAAAGATACTTGACGGTCATAAATCCCGACGGAATGGTACCGTAACGGGCCGTAACATCTTTATTTGATTTAAAGAAAACACAAATAAAATAATAAGTACTAAATTGAATATCAGTCCAAGGTTGGTGGGCTACCCACCACGTAGCACTTTTTCTGCCTGAAGATAATTTAATAAAATAATTAGAGACCATTAGATCTTACTTCTTAGGTAAACATAAATACATAATTATTTATTTTGTTTTACACTATGATACTTACAGTACAGTAGCTATACGGTACTTAATTTTTAAAAAGATATGATAAGTCAAAACTGGTAAATAATAGTCTCAGGTCAGCAGTTTTTTATTTTCAACATTTAAAAACTTGTGTTCATTTGCAATTTCTAAACACGTTTTTGTATATTTTAAAAACCGTGGTATATTTAATTTCGATTTCTAGAAAAAAAAAAAAAA